CCCTGTGGCTGGGAGTGTGGTTCCGGGGAAGGGCTACGCTCTCTGACTTGGGCTGCTTGCAAGAGTCTGTGTCCAAGCTGCTGAAGTGGGTGGTGGCTCAGCAGCTGCCCAGCCCCTCAATGGCCTAGGGAGACTATTCTAGTCAGGTAGGGTGACCTGCTTCACAGGTGGGGACATTGTGTGGATCAAAAAGGAAAAGGGAAAGCGAGGGGACTAACAGGGAAGACGATAACCCGGCGAGGGTCCCTCGGCCCAGGCGCAGTCCTAGCCTCTATGCCAGGACCCCTTTTAGGGACCGATCTCATGGCATTGCCCCCTCTGGGGAGCTCGTGGAGGGTGCAGAAGGGGTGGGCTCCTTCACGTAAGGCCTGGTCACATAAGTGCCCTTCCCAGTGCTGGACCCTGTATCTGGACTGTGGGGTGTCCAGAAGCCTCTGCTGGTCACAGCTGCATTCAGTGTGACGTCCAGAGAGCAGCCTCGCTGGCCCAGCTTCCCCTCAGCTCCAGCTTCTCTCTGCTCCTGCAGTTCCCCGCCTGGTTCAGTTCCTTCCACCCAGAAGACACCTCCGAGCGCCTCCTGTATGCCAAGGGCTAGGAGTGAGACTGGGGCTCCTCTCACAGCTCCCAGGGGCACCTGGGCAGTATAGGGACTGCTGGTGTGATGGAGCCCTCCGGGTGATGCCCCAGTGTGGCTGCCTCCCAGGCAGGACCAGGAGCTGAGGCTCCATCCTTCAAGACCCAGTCGTGGGCAGAGTGAGCCTCTGAGCTCTGTGGCCCAGCACACAGTAGGTCCCAGGAGTGGGCGAAGAGGGGATGCACCATGCTTGGCAGCGAGAGCTCTTGCTCTCCCTCCCAACTCTGCAGCACAAAGCCCCAGCTCAGCACCCATGGGACCCCCAGGCATTGCCCAGGTACCCCAAGGTGGAAGGTGGGAAAGTCTCAAGGCCTTGCAGAGGACAGTCACATAGCTGTACTGACCAAGAAGAGAATAAACTATGTGTGCATGCATGTGTGTGTGAGTTTGAACAGAGACTCCACCTGTGTCTAGTGTCCTCCTGGGCAGAATGTCTGTCCAGGAAGTAATCCCCTGTGGCCACATGGGGGCAGCACTGACTGGGAAGATTTGAGTTCAGTGCTCTGGTTGTCCACCCTGGTCCTCGCTCAGGGTACAGCACACTCCTACTCTGAGTTCCCAGGCACCGGGCAATCACTGGGGGATCAGAACCTCCTCTGGCCTTGGCCTCTGGGGCCCTGAGTTCGAGCCACCCCCATTCTTGTGGTCTGACTCGGGCTTACTTCGCTTTTCTCTACTGAATTTATAAGGACAATGGTCAATTCTCACCAGCCTCAAAGGGTCTGGTGAAGATGCTTTAAGACAATCAATTGTCCATGTTGGGAACCCCCAGAAGCCAGCCTTGAGATCAGGGTTTGCAGGCAAGTGGGTTATTGGAAGGCAATTCCAGGAAGCAGACGGGGAAGAGGGGGAAGGGAAGACAGCTGGGAAGGGTGCGTTATCCAAGCAACTGGAGTCAGACCCTGGGGACAGTGGGATGAGTGCAGGGGACACATCTGAGGGACCCACCCAATAGCAGAGGGTCCGCACATTTAGCCACCGGCTCCCTCCAGGCTTTGCTGGGGAAGAGCCTCCAGAGGGCTAATTCCTTGGACTTCCAGGTTGCTGTGCAGATGCCCAGGAGAGCCCTTGGGCAGGGACTTGCAGTGAGTGCCACAGTTGGTAGGCTGGCCTGGGTGCCCTCAGGGCAGGAGGGTGAGGGTCAGGGTGCCAGCCGTGTCTTAGATACCGCAAGGGTGCTTTTTGGAGTGCAATAGGTGTGCAGCCATGAGATGGCGCAGGAGGGATGCCCTGGTGGTTCCTACACAGCACAGGAGTGTGGACACCAGGGTCTGGGCTGCCAGCCTGCAGCAGAGGCCTGAAAATTGTGGCCTCATCACACTGGAAAAAGTCCAGCAGTGAGCAACGGCTGTCTGTCCACAGTTTCCCTATTATGTGGCACTGTGCCTACAGCCTTTGTCCCTAGTGAGGCTGCTCAACCTCCAGTACCACTTCAGGGGGCAAGGGGATGGGCCAAAGGTGGTGCCAGATGTTCTGCCTCCTTGGAAAGAGGTTTTAGAAGGTGCCAAGTTGCATCTCCTTTGCCTCTCAAGAACCAAGATGGTGGCACTTGGCTGCTCCAGCTGAGAGGGAGGCTGGGAGATGTAGTTTTAGCTGAAAATGTGGCTGCTCAGAGCGAACTAGGGTTGGGTGAGGAAGGTCAAGGGAACAGAAAAGTTTGGGGAGGGCAGAGGGCAGGGTGTGCCTGGTGGGATTTCTGTAGCAGGGAGCATCAAGCCCGAGTGCAGTCCGGCGAGGGTCGGTCCCTGTGGAGGAGTGCTGGCATGCTCCTCCAGCCCGCCAGGCGGCAGCTACAAGAACATGATGGAAGGCTGGCCTGTCAGGGGTTCTGCCACACCCAGAGCCCTTCACAGGTGGGCACAGTTCCTTGCTGGAGGTGCCAAGGGCAGGGCCGGGCTCCTTTCCACCGTGGCTGGGTCTGGTGAAATCCCAGCTCTGCTCTGGCTGAGGGGCCTGATGGCTATCAGCGTTGGCGGGAGGAGGGAACCTGCCTAGCCTCACCTTTCCTGAAGCTTCCCTGTACCCCACCTGCCTCTCCTTCCTCCTCCCCTCCCTGTCCACCCTGGTGTCAGTCATTCTCCCTTCCTTCCTCTAGACTGGGCGTCCAGTCCTGCCGGGCCAGCCGTCGAGCATGCCCAGCAAACCTTGATGAAGAATCACAAACACTCAAATGGCCCAGTGAGACCGTGGACAGGCATGCCAGGCGAAGCAAGTAAAATCTCAGACACCAGCTAAATCTGAATTTCAGGTAAGCCATGGATAACTTCTCTCATGCCATTTTGGGATATACTTAGATTTAAAATTATCCACTGTTTATTTGCAACTCAAATATATTGGGCCATCCTGTATTTTATCTGGCAATCCTCTTCAAATACCTGGCTGACCTGCAGGCTCCTGTAGCTCAAGCCCTTCATTTCACAGGGACAATAGATGCCCAGAGGGGGAAAGAGCGCTCTCAGGACACAGAGCAGGTTAGTAGCAGCTACCTCCAGGCAACTGGGACCCAGACCAGGGCTTTTCTGAAAAAATAACCAAGGGAAGCAGAGAATGGCGGTTTCCTAGTGAGGTGGGGGCCAGAACGTGAGCGCGGAGCTTCAGGCAGCAGGGGTGAGGATCTACCTGGGGGCGGAGGCTGGGGCTGACTCCTGACCTCCAGGCCTGGGGGGCCTCCAGCCCATCCCTCATGTGCTTTTTCCCACTGACCGCAGGGAGTTCAATGAGCGGGGTCTGACGTCTCCCGTCTGAATGTCAAAAAGACACACCGAGGCCCAGGCTCCATAGTGTCTCTGAGTAGCTCAGGGGGGACACTGACCAAGGCACTTCCTTCCCAGGCTCAGTTTTCTGATCTGTAAAATGGTGATCTCAACCCCCAGCGGGGTGCTGGGGACTGAAGCAGATGCATCTGACGCAGCACCTACACCCTGTGGAGGGTGAGGGGGGCTCCAGAGGCTGACCTTCATGTGGTGACTGACAGCTGCTCTACAGGAGCGCCAGGCCTGTGCAGACTGTCTCCTGGCACCCAGGCTGCAGCTCTGCTGAGGTGACTCCATTCACAGTGAACCTTGGAGCTCAGGTGTGGATTTGGGTCTCTGGTCTGGCCTGCAAGCCCCTAGCCCAGGGCATAACATGCCCCACCTGGTGAACTGGCATTTACAGGACCCTAAGCCTCTCCTCTGTCCTGGGTCCAATCCAGCAGCTAGACCAGGACCGCAGCATTGGGGTGAGGCTGGGACACACCCAGAGACTGCAGGCTGCAGGGCTTGCCCCTTCCCTGAAATGCCACTCCCAATCAATACAGTAGGTCACCTGGGGCCTACTGGCCAGATAATTCCAGGCCCAGACCTTGGGAGAATGTGACCCCAGGAAACCAAGTCCGTTAGGGTAATGGGGGCCAGTACGGGACCAGAGTGCCCTGGGACAAAAAGGGTACGCTCTGTGCAGAGGCTGCCCTGCCTTCAGGGCGGATCCGCTGGCGCCCCCTAGTGAGCGGAGCTCAACATCCTACCCTACTCAGGCTTCCTGCACCAGGAGGCAAGTAAGAAATGCGTTGGGCGTGACCCAGCCTGTGGACAATAACTGACACCACAACCCTAGACAAACAGTGCTCACCCCCCTTCAGGGTGCCCTCGGACAGGCTGTCTTTTCTATTCCATGTTTAAAACTGCTGGGCTCAGCCCACTGGGTTGGTTTCCTCGTGTGTCATGGGCTATAGTTTAAAAATCCCAGGAAACCCCTCCCGGCAGCCCTAGGTTTGGTTACTCACATTTATGACCAAGCCTGAATTCTCTCCTCTCTTTCCTCTGAGAGGCAAGAAGCCTGGGCTGCTGTCTACCTCTGCCGCCTGCAGGGTTGGGCCTGGCTAATACGCCTGGGACCTGGGAGTCAGAGGGGAGGCCAACGATACACAGCTGCCCCTGAGTAGCAGGTGACCTCGGGTAAGCTACCTGACCTCTGGGGTGCTCAGTTCCCCACCTCAAAACCAGGGATGACCACGCTGGATTGTTGACAGGGTCATGGGCTCGAGGAGAGCATGCAGCAGGTTTTGGCCCTCAAGGTGACCATGGCCGTCCTCCAGTTTGTGTGACCTCAGACATTACACAGGGTCCACTCACAAAGGGTCTTGCTCTGGGTTTAACACCAGGCTGCCACCAGCTTCAAATTCTTAATTTTATCTTTGAATTTGTGTTTCGTATGTGACGATGGGACAGGAGGGCAGGGACAGGTGCCTGGGGTGGTCTGGGGTGCTATGGAACCTGGGGACACTGCTGGACTGGGAGCCAGGACTCAGGTGCTCGCAGTGATGGAGGGTGACCCTGGTAGAGCAGAGGGGCTCATCATGGGGCCAGTTCTCAGACCATAGAGGGGCCGCTCACCTTTCCATCCTGGAGCCTGTCACAAGGCACCTGGGAAGTTATAACTCTCCAATCAGAGGGCTGGGACAGGAGCGGGGGAGGCAGACCTCGTCAGTGAACCACCACAGATGGACTGTTCACAGACCTCACGACCCGGCAGTTACTGGCACCCAGCAACTAGTTGAGAACCTCTGGATTCAAAGCCCGCCATGACACTGTAAAGCAAATCTCCAATAGAAACTAAGTGGAAAGATGGACACGCTAGCTCAAAAGAGCACCATTTTCCTATGGGCCTTTGATGGGACGAGCTTTGGTGAGGAGGACTATTTTAAAATTAAATCCCCCTCGGAATTCAAGACTCGGTGATCCAATGCATAAACAGGAGGCTGAACTGTATACAGATGGTGAAACTGCTGTTGGTTTTGTGTGACCTCCACAGGTTACAGGAAATGCCGACAGTAAACATTAAAATACTGCTGTATACACTCGAAAGTAAACCCAGATTTACAGCAAACTGATTTGTATGAAAAGTTAAATCTGTTTAGAAAAATTAATCTGTATGAATCATCAATTCCTAAAATATTTATTTCAAAGTTATTCATCAGATGGGGCCAGGGTTGTGACTCAGTGGCAGAGCACTTGCCTAGCACATGTGAGGCACGGGGATCCATCCTCAGCACCACATAAAAATGAATAAATGAAATAAAGGTATTGTGCCCATCTACAACTAAAAAGAATATTTAAAGAAATTATTCATTAGAAACATATCCTGATGTTATCACAGCCTGTGAAATTCTCTTAACAGCTCCAAAGACTGTTGCAGCCACAGAAATATCCCTCTCAAAATGAAAAATGACCCAAAATGATGTTTGGTCTTGCATTTGTCAAGAAAAACTGGCATCACTTTCAATGATATCTATTGAAAATGAAGTTGCTAAAAGTACACATTTCGATGACCTAAATGAATTTGCAGAAAAGTGAGCCAGAAAAATGGTAAGACTATCACAGTAGTAAAGTACTATTATGTTATAAAGATGATGATTCGCACAATGTCCTTTTAAACTTTCTACATTTGTGTTTTGCTTATGCTCCACTGTCATCTCTATCACATTGCGTAAGCGGCCCGTTTTCAAAGGGAAAAGCTTTTATTTAGTTTCCTTTTCTGCACTTTCCCCTGCTTTTAGACGCAGGGGCCTGCGTGTTGTTAATTCTGAACTGGGCCCCTCACATCATGAAGCAGGAGAACTGAGTGTGGAAAGCTGTAGCTGTGGGTATTGCTGTAACATTCCCAACACAGACTTTCTTCCCTCGGGAATCTCCAGTGTGTGTTCTTGGGGGAGTCACAGCTGCGCCTTCCCTGTGGCACCAGGTGGTGGGGTTCCTCCCGTGGGTCCTTCTCAGAAGGGGGTGCAGGTGAACCCACGCTCCTCCTCCTCTGTGCTGGCCCAATGGATGGGCAGCAACCACATCACCTGGACGCTCTTTACAAATGCAGAATCTTGAACTCGCCCCAGACCTGCTGATCCAGATTCCGCATTTTAATAAATATTCCAGCTCAATGAGTAGGCGGGTGAGACGCTGGAAAGGGCAGCCCCAGGGGAACTGGGTGCCAGCTCACCCAACGGCTCGCCCAACTCACCTTTGCCCTGTAAAACTTAGTCACGACTGTTGCTATTCAATGTTTGACCACCGGGGGGCACCAGAGACAGGTCATTTGCACTCCACTTGCCAATCAGGAGCTTGGAGATAGTGTCAGAACAGAGCGACTTCCTCCACTCCCTCCTATCCTACTGGGCGCAGGAGCTTTGGGCCAAACTCCTCAAAGGCACGTTGAGTTGAATTCTGCATTTACAAAGGGACTGCTGATCTGAGATCAGAGAGCTGCTTTCCCTGTGAGAACCCTGTAGTTGAGGCCAGCATGCAGAGATGGGGGCCTAGGACTGGGGCTGTAGGTCTCGTGCTTCCCTATTGCTGCTGGGTGACCTTGGGCAAGTCACTCCTCCTCTCTCAGTCCAAGCGTCTCCATCCATAAGTGCAGGCAGTTGGGCCAGGAGACTCCCGAGAGCCCTCTCAGCCCACAAGGCTCAGCCCAGCCCTGGGCCCAGAGCCTGCCAAAGAACTGGGACCAAGCTCCCAGCTCCCAGCTCCCCAGGTGAGACAAGCTCCTTGCCCTGTCGTCCAAGGCCTGGGAGACCTGTAGCCCCTGGGATTGGGGCATCTGGCAGACCTGGATCCCAAGGTGCCCAGCATTCTAGAGGCAACAGGAAACCATCAGGTGGGTGTGAGCATGGGTGGAGAGGTGTGGATGACGAGGGCACTCACCCATCAGCCTCACAGACAGGGAGACTGAGGTCCAGCAAGGACGTGTCCTGTCAGGGGTCCTGTGGCCAGGTCAGTGGTGGAACTGGGGCCAGAACACAAGCGTCTGGGAGCTGGGGCAGCAGCCCACATGCTGGAGGCTTTGTTCCAAGGGCCTGGGGCCCAGAACTGGATGCTCTCCTAGCCTGGGGTTCTGGGGGAGCTGGCACTCACTGATGTCCCCCCAGGACCTGCTTGCTGCCCAGAACAGAGCTCCAAGCCCCGGCCAGCAGGGCAGAGAGGGCTGTGAGAACTGCCCACATTCCTAATGCTCTTGGGGTTTCTGCCAGGATAGCAAGAGCAAGGGTCTCTGCCCACAGCAGGGTCCTCGGCTCCCAACTCAGGAACTGGAGACCCACTAACCTACTGGCCACGGGAGGTCAGCTAGTCATCTCAGAGCACTATTCTTACCAGGGCACCCCTCTGCTCAAAATCCCCAGAGGGTCCCCGTTGCCTGGACAATAAAGCAGTGAAGAGATCCACTGTCTGTCAGACTTGGGATCCCAGCCACCAGCCCTCGGATCCACTGCCCAGCATCCCATGCCTGCCCCTGGCTGCCCACCTGCCTGCTTTTGAAAGGGTAAAGTTTCTAAGCTGGAAAGCTTGAATGTAAAAGATTAGGTATTATTAAGTTCCTCTGTTACACCCAGATTCCTGAGATAGTTAAAACAGTGCCCTACTGGCCATTTAGCCTAGGGCCCTGTGCAGTTGTCACAGGGCCCGTCACAGGGCCTGAACCAATCAGTTTGAATGTGTAACCCGCTTAGGAATGACCAATCACCCCCGCCCGACCTGTTCCCGCCAATGAATGTGCCAATCATGTCTCAGAGTTGTTGTTCAATTTTCCCGCGCCTCATGATGATTTGTTCTGATGTATGCAAAGCCCACCGCCCTCTAAGCTCTGCTTGACCTCAGCTCTGGGCTCCGGGCTGCTCTCCCTTCTTGAGTGAGCACGGAGCCCCAGGGCGCTGGAATGGATCCCCAATAAATCCCCTTTTGCCAATTGCATGGAGCCAGTCTCTTGTGTGGTCTCTTTCTCTGACGCTCCGCCGGACCCTTACACTTTCACCTCTGTTCAGAGGCCCTACCTGTGCCAGGCGGCACTGCCCTAGGCACTGGGGGCAGCAGTGGGCAGACAAGCCCCTCTCTCTTCAGGCTTTTGTTCTGATAGACACATACAATAGCCCACCTGAGACCCATGGCATTTAGCAGGGAAGGAGAGAAGGGGATCGGCACTGTCCATGGGTGGTCAGGGAAGGCCTCAGTGAGAAGGTGGCACATAGCTAAGGCATGAGGCATGGGAGCAGCTGTGTGGGTGTCAGGAGCAGCATCACACAGAGAGAACCACAAGTGCAAAGGCCCTGAGGCAGGAATAAGTTCAAGCATGTATGAGGAAAGTGAGCAAAATGAAACTGGGCCAGGGTGGATGGCCAAGGCTTTGTTCAAGGAGTGGGGACAAGGCTGCCCAGTGAGCCTAGAGGGGCAAGAGCAGAAATGGGGACCACTAGAGGCAGCCTCCTTGCCCCACCTCCAGAGCTCCCTAGGAGCTGCCCCCTCTACCTGAAACTCCCTCCTCTGAACTGTGGCCAAAGACCCTGGCTACTCATTGGAGCAGAACTCACTCCCATGTCCCCTGCGGATCAACCCAGCTGCTCCTCTCTGCACTCCCAGGAAGAAACTCCCTCTTTGCTTCGGGATGCCCACTTGTTTGTTAGACCCCCAACAGAACCTCTCACTTGTGAATTTTTCTTCTGCTTCAGTACTGAATGCTGAGTCCTTGGAGAGCCGGCGCCCATCTGCTTTTACCACCAAGAAGTCAGCAGGCCAACGGACGGACGCTCTAGCAATGCCTGTGAGTGCAAGGGCCCCGGGGCATCCGGCAGAGTCACTGGGCAACCTCCCCTACAGCTCGGTGGCAATCGGTGAGAGGGGCAGGGCAGGGCAGGGCCTGAGCTCCTGTGCTTGAAACATTCTCCAAGACATGTCAGCCATGTGCTGAGGGCAAGTGCCGCAGTCTTGGCTGGGCACAAGATCACGAGCCACCACACACCTTGTAGATTCAAACAGCAATTCTTTATTCCCGAACTCACACCGGCCTCTGCACACATTCTGGGGAAATCCAAGTTCTGCCGCACAATTCACGTCCCCAAATACTTTCTGAATTCCACGAGAACTCAAGGGAACTCAGGCAGCAGGAACGCCCTATTCCCAGCAGGAATAACCTTCAACCTGGAACTGCCCTAAGACCCAGATTGTCTTAAACCGGGAACGCCTTAAACCCAAATTATCCTAAACCGGGATACTTCCTAAAACGTGCAGGATACACCCTAATCCTGGATCCACCCTGCTCCTTGAGCAGGGTCACCTTTCTCAAACACACATGCAATGTCACAGCAAATTTCCATTTAACATGGGGTACGCTGGCAAGGAAATTTCGATGCGTCATTCCTACTTGGCAATGGCCCTCAGCAGGCAAGGCCCCTTGCTGTTCGTCAGGTGCTGTCCAGGGCGTTGGGTGCATTTGTCTCCGGAGACAGTCTGGGCAAGCACAGCCAGATGGTCCTGAATTCAGATCCGCAGCAGCCAGCATCAGCTGCCCGTGTGGAGCCAACATCCCCGAGCCCCAGCTCCTCCTCTGCAGCCCTCGGTGGCCATAGGACCCTGGGGGCGGGGTCCTTCCTTTCCACCCCTCTGAAATGGGCTGAGAGAGGAACATGAACTCAGTAGAGGACCATGGGGCAAAATGAGGCCTCTACTAGGCAGGGGGTGTGGGTGGAGTGTCAGGTGACCAGAGAGCACAGCCAACTTGGGTGGCTCAGTGCAAGCGCCAGCTCTCAGGAGAGCCCCGCTCAGAGGTGGGGACAGCCTCCCCAGTTCGTCACGCAGTCCACCACCACAGCTGCAGAGTGGATGTCTCCAGGGCTGTGGCTCTGCCGTGCAGCGACCAGGGGCAGGTCCGGGGCCCGGGGATGTCGATGTTGCCGGTCCTGCGCATGGCACTTGGGGTGAGCCTGGACCTGCCCCAGCCCTGCGGCACTAGGATCTGCGATGTCACAGATGCCCTGAGGGATGGTGGAGACCGCTGGTGCAGGGTCTTGGAAGAATGCGTATTTGGGGACTCAGCACCACGTGGAGAGAGGCCAGCAGATTCGTGTCCTTCCACTGCCTGTCACCACCTGTTAGCGCCTCTTGAGGTTTATTTCAGGCACAGTGTTATTCATATAACATCCTATAGTCTGCTCAGCAAAACCCCGACGTGAGCCTGTGCGGTCTTGCCACAGTGACCAAAGGACCAAGCTGGTCAGGCGACAGGGGAAGGTGGGGCTGGGCTGGAGGGAGGCGGCTCTGTTCGGGCCACTTACTCCAGGACACCTCCCTTGGCACGCACGGGCCAGTCAGCGAGCTCCCGAGGCGGACTTTCCTCCAGTGTTGCCGACAGGGAAACTGAGGCTGGGAGGGGGACGCGCTTGGCCCGGGTAGGTGGGTGGCAGAGGGTAGGGCTGGGATGGGACTCGGGTTTATTCACGGGTTGCTGGGCTGAACAGTGGCCCCCAAATTCACGCCCACATGGACCCTCAGAGTGTGACCTATTTGAAGAAGTGTCTTTTGTGACAAAGTAAGTTGAAATCGAGTCACTGACCCAATGCAGCCGGAAAGGAGAAGGAAATTCGATACAGGAGACCCGAGGCCACATGAAGCGAGGTGCCCAGGAGCTCTCGTGTCACAGTGGGATGGGGACCAGGTCAGCAGAGAGCTGCAGGGGGCCTCCAGGAGGAGGCCAGGAGCACATCCTCCTACGGAGCCTCGACAGGGGGCCAGCCCTGCCCAGCCTGGACTTCCGACTCCGACCTGTGCAGGACGCGTTTTTGTGGTTCCCAGCTACTTGTTTGTGGAGCTTTGTTTTGGCAGTTCCAGGAATGCCAGCATAGCCAGGGGACCAGAACAGGCACATACCAAGTGAGGAGCAGGACCAAAGCCCTGGATGGCAAGTGCACCACACCAGGGCAAGTCCCCAGAGCCCACAGTGAGGCCGGTGGCCAGGAGGGCTTTCCGTGCAGCTGGTGGGGAGGGATGACTCAGGACAAGCCAGCAGCGTGGCGAGGGAATTCTGGGTAGAGGGAACAGCCTGGGCAAGGCCCCAAGCTGGGAAGAGCCTAATATCCCCAAGGAAGGGCAAACAGGCCAGCAGGACAGGCCAAGCATGGAAGGTGCAGAGAGGGCATGAGCCAGAGGCGCAGGGCTGTGAGCAGAGGCACAGAAGGACCTCTCTTCCTTCCCAGGCAGGCATGGTTTGAGAACGATGTCCATTCTCTGAAACTCACGTTGAAATTCAATCCCTGCTGTGAGATGGAAGAGGCAGGTGCAGTTATAGGTTTCAGAGCACTTAAGAGGTGAGTCAGCTCTGCCCTAATGAGTGGATTCATCCATTCCCCCGTGAATGGACTTGCAGGTTAATGGTTATCTCCGGAGCGGGCCTGCTACCAAAGCCAGTTTGGTGAGGTCTCTCATGCGTTCCTGGCCTCTGGCCATCGGGTGCCCTGCCCCACTTGAGCACTCTGCCAGCAAGGCCATCACGGCTGACCTGGGGACAGAACCATGAGCCAGAGTGGACCTCTCTTCTGGTCTGGTATGTGCTGCTGGCAGCAGGAAGGGGCCCGGGGGCATCAGGAGGTCTGGGGAGGGCCGAGGCGGGCGAGAGGCATGTGCTCAGGTTTAGGTAATTCTGACTACTATCAAATGGAGGGTCTGAAAACATCAATTCATTCATTCATTTGTTGGTTGATGATACAAACACCCCCCAGGACCATGGCCAGGCCTGTGAATGGGAAGAAATGGTCAAGAGAGTGTGGGCTGCTAGTCTGGGTCTGAATTCTGCTTCTACCCCTAGGGCCGTATGACCCTGGACAAGTCACCCCACAGCTTTCCCCCGCCATGAAAGAAGGAGAACAAGAGTGACGCTTTTCCTTCATTAAGACCAGATTAAATGGTGTCCTCTCCCAGCTGCCCACAGGCTTCCTCTGGACCCCATGGTCCCACACGCTCACACCTGCTATGCACATGCCACCAAAGCTCCTTCTGAAAACAGCTGTGTGTGCTGCCCCGAGCTCAGGTCCTGGCTCCCCAGGCCTCTGCAGGTGGGATCTCTGTGCCAACACCAGATGAGACTGCCACCCGACCCCCAACATCCTGCTTAGGGAGGAAGGACAGATGCCCTCTGGGATGGCAACTTGTGGTCCCTGCATCTGAGAAGGACAAAGGCAGGCAGAACTGAGAGTCACTACCAAGACTATTTTCTCTGGGAAAACCTTTAAATTCTGGCATGCAGCATTTCTGGTTCTACCCAGGAACAGCCCCAAAGCAAGTTCCAAGATGATTCCTGTATCTGCCTTTCTTCTCCCTCTTCCCAGTTGCTCTCTGTTGCTTCCCAAAGCACCTTGTACCCAGAGTATGGCAGCTGCCATTGTATTGAAATGTAAGGGAAACAGTGATCTGGGATTGTAGGAAGCTTTCTGGGTAATTTCTATTTCTAAAGATTGTAAAAAAACCAATATCTCCCCTGCTCAACTGTCCGAGTTGCTCCCACGAGCATCAAGAACGTTTCCTCCCTGCCACCTCCCCCACCACCACCACCTGTCTCGTGTCAACCCTGTCCATTCCTCTGAAGGCTGCTGCTGAGCGCTGGGAGTGTCCGGAACATCTTGGGGAGGATTTTGAGTTGGGTAATTTGGGCTCCTCCAATTTCCTAAGTTCTATGATGCCTAAGATTTTGTTCTATTGTTTCCTGCTAAATAGATGAACAATTCCCCTCTCCCACCAGTGCTGAAAGTGCTTCCGTGGGGAGTGAGGGGGGAGACGTGTGACTGCCCCCACCCCACCCTCGAGGGCACGTGCTTACAGAGCTGTGGCAACGCGTGTGTGAGCCCCTCTAAAGCCCCTGGAAATCAAATCCGGTGCCGTTGTTGGGTTTGGACCTGGAGTGTGTGCAGCACAGCAGCACAGCTGGCATTAGGGACAATCAGGCCAACAAGGTGACCTACCGTGACCCAGATGATGGAGGAAACAGCATCCCCCATCCTTCCGTGTGCCTTGTCCCACTGGGCATTTCCCCCAGGCCAGCTCCTGGTCTCCCCCCGTGGCCCTATGGGGTGCAGGGTCTGCAGAGGGCCACTCAGAGAGGTCTGTGAATTGCCATAGGTCCTAAGACCTGCCCTGCTCAGCCCTCTGATGAAAGCCGGCCGTTTTGGAAGCTGAGCTGGAGAAGAGACGCTGCGGTGCATCCAGAGAGTGGAGTGTTCCTTCTCGCGGGAGAGAAGAGAGCTGCCCTGGAGCAGCACACAGGAAACTTAGCTGCATATTGCTGAAAGAGAAAGAAACTTGTGCAGGCTCGAGTCTGACTCCAGCTCCAGGACCTGGAAAAGAGCTCTGGAGACAGTCAAAGGATCAGTGGGTGCCCCGGTGGGGGGACAGGGCAGGAACAGGTGGAGCACAGATACTACAGTGGTGGACACGTCATTATACATCTGTCCAAATCCAGAAAATGCACAGCCCAGGAGTGAACCTGAGCTTGAAGCACGGATTGGGGGGTGGATGATGGCAGGTGAATTGGGTTCATTGTTTGTAACAAGTGTTCCACCTGGGACAGGAGGTTGACATGTGGTGGGGGATGGGGGGCTAAGCAGCGCTTGATACTTCTGCTCAAGTTTTGCTATGAACCTGAAACTGATTTAAGACTCTTTTTTTTTTTTAATAAGGTAGGGCAGAGTAAAGTCAGCACCTCCTCCAGGAAGCCTTCCCTGACTCTGGCCCTGCCATGGCCTCCTGCCAGGAATCTGCAGCCAACCTTGCTTCTCCCCTGGGCCAGCTCCTCCGGACTAAAGGGTGACCGTGGTTTCCTGATTCTGAACCATCAAGCCCTTAAGGGCCCTGGGGTGTGTGCCTTCAACCCTTCTGTCCCCTGCTGTAGAGCATGCGGTAGTGTCCGTGGAACACCCGCTGCCCCTGCTGATGATTGGGTGGGCTTGTACGGGATGAAGGATGCCCAGTGCCAGGCACCTTGATGTGCTCAGCTGTGGTCCGCTGCTGCTGCCGCCGCTGTGCCCAACCCTGGTAACAGAGCCCAGGGACCTGAGCTGCCATCAGGACATGTGACCAGACCCCCGCTATGAGCTTTACTCCCTCCCCGCCTTGTCCAGGATGGCAGGCTGAGCCCCCTTCCCAGGTGCCAGCTGGGCAGCAGAGCCCTCACCTGGCCGTGCCTGGGGGTCTCCTGGCTTCCAGGAGGTCTCTGAATGGCGGTCCTCCCCACCAGGAGCATCTTCCTTCTCAAAGTTGCCTCTGTCTCCTGGATGCTCCCTTTTGGCATGTGAAACTTCCCATTTACTTGGTGACTCACCCACGAGGCATTAAGTGGCTGTCACTCTCTGCCTTCAGAGGCGGTTAGATCACGACTCAGACGCGCAGGCGGCCACAGAGCTCCCGAGACAATGCCGCGTGTGTGCGGGGGCGTGTGGAGGTGTTGGCAGGCGTGGGCCCAATGTAGCACGCACCCTAGTGACACAGAGCTGTGTGACCGGCACCAAACTCCCCCAGCACCACCCAAACTCTTTCCACTTGCACTGTGATCCCAGGAGGCTGTGGAGGGGGCACAGTTGGGGTTTTTAAAGGAAAGATGGAGAAGAGGAAGAGCCCAGCATGGGCAGGATGGCGGAGGGAGGTGGATGGAGGGGACTTGGGAGCCTGGAGGCTCTGCCACCCAGCAGTTGTGGGATGTGTGACCCTCTAGGACATGGAGGGCCGACCCCAATAGGTCACCTGGTGGTAAGACAATCATCAAGCTGAATCAGCAAAAACAGCTTCCTACGGAGGTGTGGGCAAGAGCAAGTGGGGCAGCCTCAGCAGGGCCATGGAGGGCGAGCCTAGGTGGGAGCAGGGCTGAGTGAGCCCAGGGCTTACCCAACCCCAAGGTGCCATGCAACTGCTTTGCCCCACGTGACTTCCGTGGAATCTAGACTCCTGGCCCAGTGGCCCTGGCAGGACAGCTCTGTGGTGGCTGTGTGTGCAGCCTGGGTGACAGCCCCCAGCCTAGGAGCATTGCCCCACCTCTCCCAAGCCTCTGAGGCCCAGGGCCTCTCTTCGAGGGCAGTTCTGACTCAGGAGGCTGGGGAGCTCACAGCAGGAACCTGAACTGCCGGTGCCGCGATCCCCCCCACCCAATGATAAACCATGGGCTTTTCAGTCATAAGGCTCAAGTGTCCCCATGGATCGGAGGCCCCAGGGGGAGTGGCACTGTTAAATGCAGATCCCTGGGCTTGGCTCCTGGGGTCGCTGATGTGGGTGGTCTTAGGTGTGCAGGATGTGATTGACACGCCACCACATTCTTACTCATTCACCCAGTAGGCTAAAACCCCAGCTCAGGTCACAGAAGCCATGCTCTGGGGGCCACAGGATCCCTGGGACATTCAGCCTGGTCATTTGGGGGCCACTTCCCCAATGCTCAATACTGCTTGTTTACCCCCCTGCAACTCTGAAAGGTGACTTGGCAGCCGATGCCTGTTTATATGCCAAGGGGCTGGTTGTTTTCCCTAAGGCTGCCCTGGCCAGGGGCAGGGGTTTCCACGCCCTCCACCCAAGTCCATCTGAAGGAGCTTGGCTGGATCCTAGACCACAGCAAGACCACAGTGCCAGCATGATGATATCATTGTATGAGTGCCACGACTCAGTGGCTTAAAACAACAGACATTTGTTCTGACGCAGTTCTGGAGGCCAGGAGTCTAAAATCAGTATCACTGGGCCAAAATCAAGAGGAACCCATTTCTTGCCTCTTCAGCTTCCCGTGGCTGCCAGCATTCCTCAGCCAGCATGCCAGGCCAAGGCCAGCATTCTCAGCTCTCCCTCTGCTCAGTCTCCACGTGGCCTGCTCCCCTGCCTCTTTCCTATAAGGATGATGTAACTACATTAAGGATCCTCCTGGGTACTGGGATGACAGCCCCTTCCCAAGACCCTCAGCTTAATCTCACACCTGCAAAAATCTTTTTCCAAATAAAATCACATTTGCGGGTTCCCAGAGCTAGGACATTATTTGGCCTAGTACACCAATGGTCCCAAAAGGCCCCAGTTCTGCTCTCTTCAGAAGACAACTCACTGGGCCTGTTTCCATTTTTCTGTGGAAGTTTGGCGTAGCCCAATGTCTGGAACTGGCAAGAGGTCAATTGAGTAAGTGGAAGTGAGTTTTAAATAGAAACTGACAAGGAAGTGGGTCAAGGTCATAAACGAAGATTCTTAAAGTTGTGGGAAGAAATCAGAATGAGGTTAGGAGAGGCATATTTGGAGGTCACACTAAAGAGTCCTAGAAGCAAGAAAGAGCTTGCACGAGGGCGATGCATCCGTGATGCATTCATTCATTTGATGCCCAACAGAGGAGAACAGGGCTGGGCCGGCAGGGATCAAGGGCAGGCCTGGAGAGAGGGCGCTCAATGGCCAGTCTTTCTCCCACCAGAGCTGAGCTTCAGTAAGTCCTCCTGTATCTTCACCAGTCATTGCTTTAAATATTTAGCTGCTAGAGTTTCCGGCACGTTGAGATTTATGATGATTAAATCTTTGTGGTCTGTGCCTCGGACTGTTACATAATACTCTTTGTTCCTGTGAATTTGCTCTGCCTCTGGGTCTTTCTTATCCAATATCAGTTTGCCATTCTTATTGCTTTTTTTTTTTTTTAAATTCCACTTTTCCAATGTCCACTTGGAACCTCCACTTGCCAACATTTTTGGTGTGTTTCCTATAAACAGCACCTAGCTGGTTTTGAGTGTTTCACACAGTCTTACAATGTTTGCTGGGAAATTCAGCCCATACCCATTTATTATGAAAGCTGATCTCTACAGTTATTTATTTCTTCTCACTTTATGTTTCCTTTTGCTAAACTGTATTGTTATCCTGCTATTTTCTCTCTTTTACCCCTTCCTTAATTTTGGGTCTGTGAACCAAAGTTATCCATAAAAGTCATGTTTGTATTTGGGAACTTCCAGTTTGTGTGAATTTTGCTGACTGGAGCATAGAGACCTGGAGGAGAGATGAAGTGCTGTGATTAGGAAGCTTAGGTTGTTTGGGGCTTTGACAGCCATCTGTCATGGGCCCACGTCTGACCTGGCACATGCTAGGCTTCGCAGACCTGCCTCCGTTCAATGTCCAGGTTGGACAGAGCATTGTTTGGCAGCCCACCTACTGTGATCCCACCTATTTTAGGGGGGGGTCTCTGTACAACCTGTGTAACTCATAGGAGAACCGTGTTGTTCTGGGAGACCATGTCCTTCAGGGGCTCACGTGGCTAACTTGAGTTGGTTTCTGGGGCACGCTCACTCATGTGGGCTTGAAATCAACCACTTTCTTATTTCGGATTGACCTTTCTTTTTTTTTTTTTTTCTTTCTTAGTTGTAGATGGACACAATACCTTTATTTCATTTATTTATTTTTGTTTTGGTCCCAGGCATTGAACTCAACCACTGAGCCACATCCCCATCCCTATTTTGTATTTTATTTAGAGGACAGGGTCTCACTGAGTTGCTTAGAACCTTTTTTTTTTTTTTCTAAAGATGGCTATGAACTTGATATCTTCCTGCTTCAGTCTCCTGAGTCTGGAATTACAGGTGGGCAGCACCATGCCCAGCTGAACCATTTGCTGATTATAGCTATTACACTCATGT